GTGACCCCTCCTTGGGTTTCCGAGGCAGTATCACTACGGAAGTAGGATTGCCCAACCTTCCTTCCGAGGAGTGGCTGGTGGGTTTGAACCGTCAGCCTTCTGGTTAGCAGTCAAGTGCTTTTAGCCACTATGCTACCAGAGCATGCTTAGTGGTTGGTAAATTGGGAAAGGCAGAGAATCAGAACACCAGATATTCCCTCAGGTCCTCTGGGCCCTAGCTAGCTCTGTGGGGTTCCAGTCACCTGTTGCTTCCTTATAAATTATTTTAATAAAACTCTTCTAAGTGGGAGCTCTGGTGATGTAGTGCCTAAGACATTTAACTGCTAACCAGGAGGCTGTCGGTTCAAACCTACCAGCCACTCCTCAGAAGGAAGACTGGGCAATCTACTTCCATAAAGATACCCCCTTGGGAATCCAAGAAGGGGTTGCTATGAGTCAGAATTGACTCTAGGGCAGAGGTATTTTTTTTTTAAGTGGTAAGTCAAATGGACTCCTTTCCTGGGGGCAAATAAAGATAGAAGATAACCAAAAGAGACCACTTAGAGACCTGAAAATATGGTCTTCTGGAAGACAAATACACTGGCTTACCTAGGAAATCTGGGCAGCCCATCTGGACTCAACAACGTGCCCACCATAAAACGCTCCTGTTGGACCTTTCTCTAGTATGATATTTATATTGCCACTAACCCTTGGCCCTTTCGCAAGTTCTACTAGTGAGTTAGGATTTGTATTATCTGTCTTCCACACTGATGGGGCTGAAAGACCCAAACTTAACTCCAAGGGATTCTGAATAAATGTATGCAAGAGAGGCCAGGAAGTATAATTTATTTGCACAGGTCACAGAAGGATTATTTATCAGATCAAAGACAGGAGGATTTAGTTACTCAGCATACAGACTTACAATGTGAACATGCTCGACATTTCTCAAGCTGAAAGAACTGAACAAAAAATTCAAGCCTTAAGTTGCAATATTGAAAAATTCTATGGGCAAAATATCGAATAGTGCAGGAAACATTAAAAGAAGATGGAAGGAATACACAAAGTCACTGTACCAAAAAGAATTGGTTGATGTTCATCTATTTCAGGAGATGGCATATGATCAAGAATCAGTGGCATCGAAGGAAGAAGTCAAAGTTGCCCTGAAGGAATTGGCAAAAAACAAGGCTCCAGGAATTGACAGAATAGCCATTAAGATGTTTCAACAAATGGATGTTACATTGGAGGCATTTACTTGTCTATGCCAAGAAATCTGGAAGACAGCTACCTGACTAGAAGAGA